TCATAACTTCAGGCCAACGCCCTACGTCATCCTCCCCCTCAGACCTCCCAACTCGTGCACATCAACACAGCTCCTATTCCTGCTGCAGAGAAACCCAGCATGTCCCCTTCCTTTGTGAGGCTTGGCAGCTCTAATAACTGCATGCTGTGTGCTGCTTTCCCCCAGAGTATACAAAAGAGTATTGTTTGTACCGTACTCTTTGCTGTCCCTGTTACCTCTAGGACCTTATACTGTTTGTTGTGGAAGAACATGATTTCATTACTGTCAGATGATTTCTGTTTCTTGTAAAGCACTTATTGGTGTTGCCTTTGGGTACTGCATAAATAATACAAATCTCACAATGCCTCTCTGATCAGAGGGCTTACACCCAACCAGTTTGTCCGAAAGCACCTTGAGTTTTGTCCCAGTGATACCTGGAAGAAAACCATATCTGTCAAGAAGAGGAAGAACATTAATGTACAGAACAGAAGCTGTGATGTTTCTATTGTCTTCAACAAATAACACTCATGAACAAAACTCACATATTTGAGTAAATAAGAAATTCAGTGGGCATTATAGGTAGCCTAGCATAAACTTCTCTCCAGCTATGGAATGTTCCTCAAGGACACAATACTATTATTATAGAAAGCAAAAATTTGCATTGCCTACTCTAAACCTTTGCTCATGCCAGTTTCACTTAGCATATATACTAATGTACTTCATTTTTGGTGAAAATACTCATGATAGAGCCTGAAGGATTAATTTCAAATAAGGTCTCTATTTATAAATACATAGGTATAAAGAATAATAAACTAGTATGCACGTCTCTAGGAGCGTGATTTAAATAATTGTTGCTTAATTCTAAGTTTTCTGCTCAAGAAAAAAATGCTTGAATACCTCTCATTTATTTAAATGCACTTGATATTTTCACAAAACGTAGAAGTCGAATATCAAAGAAAGGTTTGTTCCTTTTCTGCATTTTATTTCTTTTAAATGGTGAAAAAAAATGCTTGAAATTCAGCATCCGAGTTTCATTTTCAATAAGAATCAGAAAATTGTCAAAGGCAAACTGTTTTCCATCATACAAATGACTTGATCACAGATAATAAAATTGCACAAACCTCAAAGCCTAAATAACCATGTAAATGGGTTCTATGTTTTTTGAGACAGATGGTGGATCACAACAGTGATGGATTATGAATTCCAAAAAGATTGTCCTCCAGAATATAAGAAAAAATCACTGAAGAAGCAGATTTAAAATATAGTTAAAGTGAAATCAAAATAGAAAAATCACATAGGTTTTTAAAAGATCAAGAGAACATACAGATTATATCAGAACCACTCTGGAAAGAAAACCATTTTGAATTGAAACATTATGCTTGTGTTAACAGAAGGAAATTGGAATGTGTTTCAACAAGATGAGTAATGTTATCTACTTCATTCCGTATCATGTCCAAGATTGTAGAAAATTGCAGTCTACTGTCTATCAACCACCTAATCACTTGATGCTTGCCTAGATGTATGCCCAGCAACCATGGCCATTGTTGGGGACTCTTAATCTCCTTATCTGGTTCTTAGCTGCACAACGTGAGAGTGAATTAGGAACCATTATGGAAGAGAATTAAGTTCTCATTGATAGGTCTTGCATTCCCAGTACAAAGGAGCCCAGGTTGAAGTGTAGACTACCCTATCTAGGTAAGGGACATCAGTCATAGTTTGTCAAAAGGCCAACAGTAAGTCAACTCCAGAAAAGCATGGGCATATAGGGTGTAGCAAAAGAATCAAGAGTGCCAACTTCAACATCGACTCCTTGATATGCATTCTCTGGCCATTTAGCTACATTATTTTGTGAATAAATATATTTTAATACTAATATTATCTTAGATATAGTAAAATACATAGTATGTGTAGTATCTATAATATCACCTGCCTCTGCTTACATCCCACCCTTATCTCCCCTTTCTCTACACTCCAGCTCTGCCATCCTTCTCTCAGGATGCATCGTCCTCCTTCCTGACTCAGAGCCTTTACACCTGCTCTTCCCTCTGCCCAGTCCCTCCTCCCTTTTAACCAGGGTAATTCCTATTTAGACTTTAAGTCCCCTTTAAATGTTATTTCCCCTACTATAGCTTCACAGAAACTTGTAGGTTTCCTTCAATATATTCACTCCAGTTGTGGTTAATTGTAATGTCTATCTCAGGCAAATGATAAACTCTAAGAGGGCTCTCTCTCCTTTGGCTTTTTTTTTTTTTTTTTTTCCAGAAACTGTATTCCCAGTGCTTAGCATAGTACCTGGCCCATAGGAATAGCTCAGTCAGTGTTTGTTGAAGGAATGGATGAGAAAGGATTCTCTTGGTGATTAGAGTGTTACTCTGAACTTTTCACAAAATCCTGCTACTGCATATTCAGAGACCAATGACTTGGTGTCCAAAATGAAGGCCTCTTTTTGATACATTATTGCTTGGATTTATTTACCTTCCAGATCCAGATGAAAACTTCAAGGCTTCCCATGAGGATATTTTGGTGACCAAGAAAAGTGACCAGGAAAAATTCCAGCCTAGAATTTAGAAGAAGATAGGAGCTGGAAGATTCCTCTGGCATATGCCTCCTGAAGAGGAATGTGGCCGGTCCCACCAATAGTGGTGTGCCATGGAGACTCATGGACCATGGCAAGGAGAGATTCTCCAACACACAGACTATGACTAAGTGGCAATTGACAACATATCGTCAGGAAACCTGGAGTGATTTCATGGAGACCTGGAGCATATTATGATCTACTTTACAAATAAGGTTTGCTCATTATTTTTACCCAATTCAGTGTGGTCATAGTACTTAAGAGATGAGCCCCTAGTCTTAGGAATAGGACGGCTTCCAGAAAGGCCATCAAGGTGGATCTGGAGCAGTTGATGGTCTAAGTTAACACCCAGAAGTCTCATGGAAAGTGCTACTATTGCTAAGGTATATTGCTGACTTGCTGTGTGATACGTATTATGAAAAACAAGCTCGCTGAGCTCTGGCTCCCCCTGGATAGACATATCAGGGACAGTTCTGCTCAACAGTGTATTTCTGAGGTGGTAAAGTATTAATGTTCATGCATGGTTTCGTTTTTGTTTCATAGACCACCAATAAATTTGGGAAATGTTGCACCTATATCTCCTTCCTGGACAGTCACAGTGTGCATAGCACATTGATGACTTTAAGAAGTTCTGCACTAAAGAAGGTTTTTCAACTCATCTGACCATGATACTTCTTATTCAGAAAAGACTTATGTGCCAATCAAGATAATCTTAGTATGGCTGCTGTGTCAGACAACCTCTGAACCTCACTGGCTTGAAATAGCAAGGTTTACTTCTCATTCATGCTGTATATCCATTGCTGGTTGACTGGAGATCTTGTGCCACATGGTCTTCACTCTGGGATCCAAGATGTCAGAGCAAGCACCATCTGAGCATTTTTGGTTGCTCTGGCAGAAGGAAGGTGAGCTCTGGATGTTTTCACAATTAAATGTTGCAGCCTGAAATTGACTCATAACTTTCAAATTTGGCTCAGAACTAGTCACGTGGCCCCACCATGAGGGGCTGAGAAAATACTATCCTACCATGTGCCTAAAAGGTAGACAGCCAAAAATATTCAGTGAACAGCACTAATGACAAATAACCCCATTAATATGACTGAACACTAATGTTTATTGAATTGTAGTTGGAACCCACTGCTGTTCATAGTTTTAAAAAATAATAATTACTTTTCAAGATGTTCAGCACCTAAAGTTATATGACCATACATACTCGGGAAGAATTGGAATGCTAATTTTAAAAAACACTTATAGGGGTGGGCGTGTCACAAAGAATAATTCTTTTGGAAGGTTTTATGAAAACCATTTCTTTTCACTTAAAGTCCTCAGTGTATATCCCACAGTAGATAACAAAATCATTTTCCAGCCAATTCCTCATTGCTTCCCACAAATACAAACAAAAACCATGGATAATACCACAACACAGCCTAATAGGCTACCACAGGGAGGTATATCATAAATGTCCATTTACAATGAATTCTGCATAGGTGTGCAAAGAGTTAATGGTGTCATCAGATAAATCCCATGATAATAGGAATAAAGTTGGCATAGAATTCATTTAAACAGAAAAAATTAAAAGTATTTTGCACTACCATCCTAATCTCTGAGAATTAATTCCTGATGAAGTCTACTAAATCAAATTACCTAATGCCTTGGTACCTTTTCTGACAGTTGGCTATAACTGTATCACATAATGACACAGCACAAAAAGGCAGTGAGGATGTTCAGAGATAAGTACCTTGGTTCTGAGATGTTATCACCTGCATACCAAGAACAATGAAAGTACTTATCAGTGGTCATTCAAAAGTCCATAATTCACTGCTTCTGTGAGAAATACAGGGCATGTAAATTCATGTCATTTCCTCAGCCATCTCCAAGTTCTTTCTTACATATTTCCTACACACAATCACAATTAAATTACCTAATATATGGAAAATGCTTTGAGCAATGCTTGGCACATAGTAGTCACTAAGTGTTGGTTGTTATCATCGTTAGTATCATTATTTCATGTCTTACAAGCTTTGTATGTCACATGCAGAGATTCTAAAGTTTGATTTGCTTTAGCAAGTTCAATCCAGTGCTCCCAAAGAAGAGGAAGTCTAATATGCAAGGCATTTCTATATTACATTTTTCTTATTTAGGACAGAACAAGCAAATTGACTAAGAATTTATCAAAATAATCAAAAATGTGTTTAGAAGATTTGTTGTTTGTACCTCTAGATAAACATCACCAGGCTGAAAGGAAGAGTACTGAGAACAAATTAAAAGTATTACGTGATAACTGTACCACAAAGATGGATTAAAACAGCCCTATCCTCACACTGCACCACCTTCAGACTGTAGTAAATCGATTGCAACATTATTAAAGTATTCTGTATATATTTTATTTTTATAATAATTAATCTGATAAGCTCTAATATCCTTTGATTTGTCACATATAATCCACACATCATTCATTCCATTCACTTAAAGCATCCTCGTCTTCATTTACAGGTATTCCTGTTGGTGTTTGGTCAAGAGAAGTTGAATCTTTATATCTCACAGAACTCAGCTCAGATTGTATCTCAGTTGTGGAGGCTCTCGCCCCCCAGAAAGCCTTGACCGCTGCCCTAGAAGAAAAAAAAAAAAACAAAAACCATCATATGAAGTGAAAAATGAAACTAAATAGAATTATATTTACGTTTTCTACACATAGAAGGGCCTTTTTATTCATGACTCATTTTTAGTTTGTGGTGCTTCAGCTATACTGTGTGATAGTGCATGAACTCTCAGACTTACCAGGGTTTAATATCCATGTATATGAAAATAAATATTCTCATATAATTAGCAGTTACAATAACCAAGTTTTAGGGTTGTGAGAACTATAACTGAACAACACAAATATTCATGAAGTAAGCCTTTTTTTATAGCAATTACCACATAAAATTGTAAAAATTGCATTTAAAGGCTCTCTCATGGCTGGAGAAGCAAGTAATGCAATTGTTTAATAAAGTGTCCACAGAAAGAGATGGGGCAGACTGAACTAGGACAGTCACAGGAGTAATGAAGGGAACTGGACAATTCAAGACACGTGTAGAGGCATCACGGACAGGGCTTTGCAATTCACTGGATGGGGAAGGGGAAGAAGAGGAGGACTCCAAATCAAGGGTGATGATGCATCCCACCATTCACCTACCAATTTACAATTATGAAGATCAATACAAAGATCACAAATACACAGGTAACGACTCCTATGGTCAGCACAAAAACTAGTACTGGATCAGTGTCTGGTCGGCTTGATCTTCTTACCTGCAATTCTAGAGAAAACACACACACCTGATGATTATTACTACCAAAAAAAAAAAAGGAAATGGATCTCTAAATGGAGACTTTATATTTGAAAAACAATTCTAGAAAAATACAGAAATAATTAGTGGAAAGAAAATTATTATTAATGAACTTGCTCTGCACATTTTAAATGTACTTTTCAAACATACAAAAAAATTGAAAGAAATTGACAACGAACATACCGTATTACCATCACCTAGATACTATCATTAATATATTAGTATTCAACTATCCATCCCTCTATCAATTCATCAATCCATCTTATTTTTTTGATGTATTTCAATGTAATTTGCAAATGTCAGCACACTTTCCCCAAAATTCTTCAACAAGCATCATTAATTAGTTTAATATTTGTTTATAATTTTTCTTTGAGGTAAAATTGTCATACACTGATTTACACAAAGATCTTAAACGTACATTTGCTTAGTTTTGGCAAACGCACGTATGTAATCAAATGTCAGTCAAGACATAGAGTATTACCATACCCCAGAAAGTTCCCTTGGGCCCTTTCCTAGTTAGTCCCTGCCCCATCCTTCCAGAGGCCATACTACTCTGATTTTCTTTTCCACCACAAATTAGTTCTACATATTCTAGAACTTCATATGAATGGAATCAAACATTATGTAATCTCTTGCGTAAGACTTTTACCCAGAATAATGCTTTAGAAATTCACCCACAGTATTACATGTAACTACAGTTTTTTTTTTATTATTGAGCAGTATTACACAATTTGTTTATTCATTCTCCTACTGATGAATACCTAGGCTGTTCCAGTTTTGGGCTATTACAAATAAAGCTTCTATGAACATTCTCGTACAAGCCATTTTGTGAATATGTATTTTAATATTTTAACTAAATACCTAAGAGTAGAATTGCAGGTTCAAACTGTAGATAGTAGATGTATGCTTAGTTTTCTATGAAACCATGAGACCTTTCCCAAACTGACCATACTGGCTGTACATGTTTTGGAAATGTTTTCTCCCAGATTTTGGTTTGCCTATTCATTACCCTAATGATTTCTTTTAATGACCTGAAGTTTTAAATTTTGATGATGTCTAATTTATTCAGTGTTTCCTTTTATGGTGATTGTTTTTCAGAGTTATGTGTAAGAAACCTTTGCCCACTCCTGAATCATGCAAATATTCTCTTATATTTCCTTCTTAAACTTTTATGGTTTAGTTTTTACACTTAGGACTATGATACAGCTCTAATTTTTGTATATGGCATAAGGCAGGAATTGAGGCTCATTGTTTTCCATAAAAATATCCACATACTAATATTTCTTTCTCTTTAAGAGACAAAGTCTTACTATGTTGCTCAGGCTGGCCTTGAACTCCTGGGCCCTGGTGATCCTCCTGCCTCAGCTTCCCAAGTAGCTGGGACTATAGGTGTGTGCCACTGAGCCTGGCTCACATATCACTCTTAAATCAATCATTCTTTCTCATATCCTCTGCTCTTTCTGAAAATAAGGCTATTAAAGACACAAAGCCAGTCTACCATATGTGTTATAGCATTGTTATACTGTAAAATGGTGAAAAGCTAATTTACATAAAATATTACTTATTTTTGAATTATATAACTTTCTTGTGGCTCTTCCTGGTCCCGAAATTCTAGAATCATAAGATTCATGGGGAAAAGGAACATAGAGATCATCTGATCTAACCATCACATTATACAGATAAGTAAACCAAGGTCTAGGGAGGTTTAATGATTTGTACAAGCTATATTTTGACTATTCAAATATTTTAATTTTGGTAAGTATTCTGTCAGAAATAGTCTCCTATATAGGCAATCTCAAGTGCCTGTTTTTCTGGATTTTTTCCCTATCCTTTAAACATCATGGAGTATACTTTTCCATTTTCCCTAGTAATTCTTCAGCTATAAACTCAATTTAGTGTTCTCACTAAATAGTTCTAAGTATGATAAAGAAATCGAATCTATATGGATATTCCAACATTGTTTGATTTTTAAAATCTTTTTATTTTAAAATAATATTAGATTTACAGAAGTGGTGAGATTTTTAAATAAAAGACAACTTTAAGAACTAAAACCTTAGGAAAAATGCAAAAATCATTTATCTACTACCTTGCAACATCAGTCAAGAGAGGGTGGAGAGTGAGGGGTATGAAGATTTTAGTTCATTACAACAGTAGTCTTCTTGCAGGGGTCAACTAGACTACTTTTATAGCTAATATCAAATAGGCTGAATTTCCTATTGAAATTTTCTAATAAAAAATAGGCTACATTTGATACTATTACCTTTTAGATAAATGAAGCTTATGTATACATTAGTTTCGTAGGATCACCATAACAAAGTACCACAATCTGGGTGACTTAAAATAGCAGGTATTTATTGTCTCACAGTTGTAGAGTCTAGAAATCCAAAAACAATGTGTTGGCAGAGCCATGCCTACTCCCAAGATCCCAGGGGAAGATCATTTCTTTCCTTTCCCAGCTTCTGGTAGCCCCAGACGTTCCTTGGCTTGTGGTAGCCTAACTCCAATCTCTGTCTCCGTTTTCACATGGCTGTCTCCTCCCTGTGTGTCTCTGTCTGACCCTGGCATTCTTCTCTCTCTCTCTCTCTTTGTCTCTGTGTGTGTCCAAATTTCCCTCTTCCTATAAGAGCACCAATCATACTGTATTGAAGTCCCACTCTACTCTAGTATGACCTCATCTTAACTGGCTACATCTGTGACGACCCTATTTCCAAATACAGTCACATGCTGAGTACTGGAGAGTTAGGACTTCAAAGTATCTATTTTGGGGGGACACAATTCAACCTACAACAATGCCTAATTATGAAAGACAACTATAGTGGGAGTGAAAAAAATCTGATATATAAGGGAATGAATGGGAATTTTTTATTAACTAAGCCATATTTACCCTAAAAATATTTCAATTACACATTTGTTTCAAGTGAGTACTATATTGTGTGGACATTTCTAGCCAAAACGTTGCTTTGATTTCTGAACGGCCAAAAGGGTCTGTTGCGGTAGTATACCCAATTGTCATTTTTAAGAAGAAACTAATAGATACCAAAGTGTTCTAAAAACATTCTGTCATTTAACCAGTGCAGGTACTGAGATGGGAGAGCTATCCTGCCTGGCCCAAATTGCTACGAGAGAGAGAAGCCAACTTTGTTTCAATAAAGGCCTGACCTAATGGGGTCTGTGTTCCAGCCTTGGGCATACACAATAGCAAATGTATGTTCTCTTCTAACGATGGGAGGAGCTAACCACTGAATTATCCTAACAGGGACAAGGCAGTGGGGACAAAAACTGAGAATGGCCCCACACACCTTTAATACCATGAACTAGGGCTAGTTGAGGTATTTTTTAGTTTGATACGTTTTGGTCCTTTTTTGCATTTTTTTTTAGAACTTTATTGATCTCAGCCTTTTAATGTCAGCTGATATCCCAATAAAGTAGTAAGATTATTAGCTTTACCGTGAAGATTTTTTTAAAATCACTAAACAACATACCAAAGAAAGTTTAAGTAAACAGTCTATTTTTAAGGATCACCCCAAAACACTTTAATCTGTTTTCATTTCAATTAAAAAAAAAATGTTACGTTGTGTGGTATCTCTAGACTACAGCAGAAGCTCTTTACTTGGGGTTCAGAAATAACTTCAAGAAATCCATAAACTCCCTTAAAATTACATGTAACTTTGGGCATGTTTGTATATGTGGATATTTTTCTGGGAAGAGGATCCTGACCCTTGACTGGATTCTTTATTTATTTATTTTTTTTGAGACAGAGTCTCACCCTCTTGCCTGGGCTAGAGTGCCATGGCATCAGTCTAGCTCACAGCAACCTCAAACTCCTGAGCTCAAATGATCCATCCGCCTCCCAAAGTGCTAGGATTACAGGCGTAAGCCACCACGCCCGGCCCTTGACTGGATTCTTATAAGATCTTGTGACCAAATTTCCCTCATAACCCTAACAACAAAGATAACAACAACAATAAAAATGGTTAAGAGCAACTGAACAAAAGAAAATAATTACCTGGATACGTAAGCCATCATAGATTAAATTGAAAAAACTGCAAATGAATCCATCTCACAAGGGAAATGCAGTTTCTAATATGTAAAATTATGTTCAGGACAAGATTTGCATTTTGTGACATATATTGAGAACCCTATTATTGCTTCATCAAAAAACATTTTCTTCAAATGTATAATTTTTAAAGAGACATGCTCTGATATCATGTTTATTAATTTTATTTATTCTACTGTACCAAAATTTTTTTGTAAGCATCCATGAGATTACATTTATCCATTTTCACTTTTAGAATATAAGTAAAAGTAAGAATATAATTCAAGTTAGAGGACTGTTCTTTGGAGATACTTCAGATATATACCAGTTTTCCAAAGTGAGGCACATCTCACTCTATACTTTGCGAAAAGAAAATTAAGTACTATCTTGTAGAAAAGTCTAAATGACATAACCCAGTGGTTTCTGGACCAACAGTAACAGCATCACCTGGGAACTTGTCAGAAATTCAAATTCCTGTGCCAGCCCCATCCTAGATCTACTGAATCAGAAACCCTGGAGGTGGGGCTGGAGATCAGTGTTTAACACGCCTCCGGGTGACTATGACGCTCTTTAAAGTTTGAGACATAAGCAAACCAAAACATTGCTAGGCACTTACCATTTATCGTATAGACTGTGAATTTTACAGTTGCTACTAGTTCATTATTATCCAAGGTGTCACACTCGAAAGCCAAGGGATGAGCTTCCCTTTGTACTTCTAGGATTGCTGAATCATTTGCAAGGATAATGGCTTGCTATTTTAAAACAAACAAACAAAAAAACAAAGTATCAACATTCTTCATGTACACTTAAGATCAGGAAATAATTTATTTCCCTTAACAAAGAAAAGTTACATCTCTCTTAGCCTCCTTCCGTAATTAATTGTGCACATGGATTTTCTGGAGTCGCACAATCAAGACTCTGGATCCCAACCTGACCATTTCCTGCCTGTGTGACTGTGGACAAGTTACTCACTGCACCTCAATCACTTATCTGTAAAATGGGTATAATGATAAGACTTACCTCATAAGGTGGTTGTGTGGATTAAAAGAGACTCTAGCACTTGATGTATGTTTGGCACTTAATAAACCCTTAATTAGTGTTAGCCACTGTTATCATTATACAACTCCCATAAAAGCCAATGAAAATCTTGCTTCCAAAATAGAACCCTTTATATAAAATGGAAGTTTTTAAGTTCTGATTATAGTTCATCCTAAGACATTCGTAAAGTCTTAGTCTACCAAATAATGAAAAATTTTGAATTGTAATAATAATAAAGTTGTATAATTTTAAATTTCATTTTGGCAAACTTCTCTTACAGAGGAAGTTTTCTGAGAGTCATCAGAACTGGGTAACGAATTTTACTACCCATTAGAAATCACCAGATGACATACATTCATTACTCACCTGGTCTGGCCTTAGAAGTTTCCACATATATTTGAAACGATTTACAGGAGATATATGAATACATGCCAGTCTAACACTTCCAAGACTTTCTGAAATTGGTTTACCCCCTGAAAAAAGGAAAAATTAAATACATAAATATCATTAGGCATTATAAATTGCTCTACACACACTACTACTTTTAAAAGCCACCTCCAGTTTTAAATCAATTTTATGTTGGAAGTTATCATTATTGGGAGTTTGAGTGTAGAGGAGCAGAGGAGTGACGGATGTAAACATGAAGTCACCAAGAGAAGCAAGTGAGGAGATGCCATGGCTCTCTGCTCTTTATGCAGAATAAATTGCATATTTATTCTGAAGAAGAGGCAAGGGCAACCAACTTAGTGATCTGCTAGATTAACTTTTGAGATCTATTAGTGGCTTGCAATTTACTAGTTAGGGCCTCCTATTAGAGATATTGAAATCTCAGAATAGCATCATTTGATACAGAACAGCTTTCAAAGTTCCCAGCTACCCAGAAGGCTGAGGCAGGAGGATCGCTTGAGCACAGGAGTTTGAGATTGCAGTGAGCTATGATGACACCACTGCATCCTAGCCCAGGCAACAGAGTGAGACCCTATCTCCAAAAAAAAAGAAAAAGTTCCCAATTTAAAGATTTACCAATTCTACCAATAAAATGCCATGACTAAAGTTTCAAGAGCATTTCACTATAGCACAGCCTCAACCACAGATCTGAGTACAGTAAGGCTCCAATGCATTACAGAGAATATATGTTAAATTTTAGACATCCCTAAAAAATGTAAAGTCCAGTCACAAAGATACTCAGAACTATAACTGTCCAGAGAAGAAGTAGAATTTAAAATTTTATGATGATTTCCTTTCAATATATCAATTGACTGCCTCCTTCCACTCAATGGGAAGCTGAGGTTAAAGATGTTTCCCCAGAGTAAACTCTTGCCCTCAGTCTCCCTCCAGTGCGTAGTCCAACTCACAGCCGCAGTCTACTGGTCCACGGCATTCTTCTACCCGCACAATACACTTGGTTTCACCTCCAGGGCATCCATTTGTTAATATAACTTCTCTCATACCAACACCTTTGGTTTAAAAGAAAAAAAGGGGGGTGGGCATATGTTAAGAAAAAGCTAATTCCAGAGTGTCTTCACTTTCCCACCTATGTCTTTTATTGACACTTGTCTCCTAATTTCAGAAATTAAATTCCTAAATTCAGGATCATAACATTTAAATTTTTTTAGGCCCCTCATTTTCAATTAACAGCATAAAACAGCATTTTCTGAAGTGAGTTACATAAAACACTAGTTCCTCTGGTTGTTACCATAAGAAAAAGGATTCCACGATCATACACATTTGAAAATGGTATATCAAATAAAATTCAAGGGACCACTTTGCTATAGAATTTTGGGGGAAACTTTTAATAAGCCAGTAAATTAATAAGCTATTGTGTATAAATTTTCACTAATCCAAGATGCAAAATTTTTACATTTTAACATGTCTGAAGTTAGAATACATTTATAACTGATGACATGTTATAAATTAATTGGCAGCATTTTCCCTTTTTAAAGTACATAAAATGTGCTTATTACAGCCAATGAAAAGATTTGATGAAATACATTGGTAGATCGCACCACTGTACTAACTGATCCCACAGCTCCACTGAGTTTGCCTCTCATCACCAGAATTGAGGGAGAAGATAAAACGCTGGATCAGCAACATGCTGAACCATGTCCTGTGAGAAGACAGGCGAAGGGAGAGTCTCTCCTGATTTCCTTGCCTATCAGATTCCCTCTCTCAGCCCCTACAAGGTGTTAATTATAAAACTCATCCTCAAGGGCAAAGGAAAGTTGAAGAGTAGAGGTGGTCTGTAACAGTGCTTCTCAAACTTAACAGGACATGCAAATCACCTGGAGACCTTACTAAAATGCAGATTCTGATTCAGTCGTTCTTGAGTGGGTCTGAGATTCTTGCATTTCTAACAAGCTCCCAGGTGATGCTGATGCAGCCGGTCTGGGGACCACACACTCTAAGTAGCAAGGAAGAGGACCCCATATGACACAAGGAGATGCAAGGATGGAAACGGAAAGGTCTCTGATTAAGAGAGAAGGCTGAGAACTGCTGCAGGATGGCTCCACTTGAATTTATGGAAGACTCTCTAGAAGCACAGCCTTATTCTGAAATGCATAAATATTTTCAAAGCAGGTATTACATATATTTATTTATTTAGCTAAATACATTTCCCTGAGATGTGTGTGGGTGCGAGATTTTCTGTAAGATCAAGTAACACCTAAAAATCTGCCTGAATATAAAAGAAAACTTTTGATTTCTAAAATATTGTTTTAGGAGTTAAATAGAATTTTCACAAAAGCATTTTTCTCTTCTAGATAGTTCTGTTATAAATTATTTTTAATATTTTAGATATGAAATATTACCTTTTTGGTTTATTTTTTCCTTAGAAATTATTGCCATCTGATGTATTAGATGTTGTACCTGTTATGTGCCTGCCCCTACTAAAATAGACATTCCTTGAAGGCAGACAGTTTTGTCTGCTTTGTTTGCTGCTTTATTCCCAGCACCTATAATAGTGCCTGCCATGTAGTTCGCAAAAGATTTAAAAATAAAAAAAAACCCTCATCTGTTCAGTGAATAAATATATTAATACAATTTCTAAAACATATCTTTAAATAATAGAAAACAATATAAATTACTAGACCTATCATAAAAATAAGTCCCTACCTGTGAAAATTTATCAAGTAAGCAGCTAAAGAAAGATGTGAAGTACAGCCAGGAGCTGGGAGGAGCAGGGACTGGGGAGTTAGCGTTCAGTGGGTGTAGGGTTTTAGTTTGGGATGATGAAAAAGTTCTAGAAATGGGCAGTGGTGATGGTTGCACAACAACATGAATGTGCTTAAGGCCACTGAATTGTATACATCGAAATGGTAAAAATGGTAAATTTTATGTTAGGCATATTTTGCCACAATAAAAAAAACTATCTCAAATATTATAATACAATTCAGGTGTAATTTTTGACCCCCTCAAAATTCATTCTGCTCTAAGTCAGCATGGATTTTCTGTTGTCTTACCCTCTGGTTATTATTCCCCTTTCCCTCTCACCATTGTCTTTTTTCCCAAGGCAGATTCTATTGAGAACAAACTCGATTTCATTGTGAATTATCCATTGTCTACTCAGCACCCTGGTCTATATAGCATTGGTTCTCCAAAGGACAGTGCCCTAACTAGCAGCATCAGCTTCATTGTAAACATGTTAGAAATGCAAATTCTTAGGCCCTTCTACAGGCCTAGGGAGTTAGAAACTCTGGTGTAGGCTTAATAATCTCTGCTTTAACAAGCCCTTTGGGCACTTAGGATGAATGGTTAAGTTTGAGAACCACTGGTCTACTACAGCAAGTGCACCCTTAATCTCAACCCCATGTCTGATATTCTATGTCCAATTTCTATCCATGGAATGATCAAAATGTCATGTTCTTTGAACATTATCTTCCCCATAATGCCAATACCTCTTTTCTCCAAGATATGACATACAAATTGGAGAAATGTAGAATTTAGAATAGACTATTACAACTAAGCAAATTTCTTGAAAGATTTGCCAACATAGTATGTGCAAAGACATCTGTGAGATGTATTGGAAAATCTTTCATCTTCTGAACATCTGTGAGATAGAGAAAATTTTACTTTGGTGAAAGCAGTTTATGTGGCCCAAAAATATAAGAAGCTGGCTTAAAATAAGTCTCAGAGGTTACAAGCTGAAAATATCTTACCTTTTAAAGCAATCAGCCTGAATTTAGTGTATAAATTATAGTTAATAGAAATAGAAATCAATACGAGCTGAATGAAAGTACACAAATTAAAAATAAAAGATGGCCTCACCGTTTTTACCTTTCCTCCCCCCAAAATTACAATATGGCTTATTCATCTGCTTCATGCTACTTACCACACGTAACAGTGCACATCCCGAATTCTACTTCTTTGACTACTGTCCTATTTGAAACTAAACATAAAATATAAAGATATATTATTTAATCATATGAAAACTTTTCTAAGTGAAAAACCTCTTACTTGGGGATGGAAGATAAGAGTATTTATCATAAGGGCAGCAGATATTTTTTAAGTTTTCCATTTAAACCAGAAAAGCAATGCCATTCCTAGTACCTCTTCTGTTATTGTCTAAATCAAAAGAATTCCAAACCTATAAAGAAGTGCATTAAATTTGGAAATACCCTGAAAAGAAAGTTTATATTTAAACCCTGTATATAGTTTAAATTTTTTTCATCAGTTAATATACAGTGAGTTAAAAGTCTATAGAAGGTCAGAAAAGCACAAAAAGGTCGATTAGTTGTAAGAACCATTTTTTCTACTCTCTATTTTCCAAAATTGAGTGTATAATTTCCATTAAAAAAGAAGTCTTCATACCAAGCATTCATTAAAATTGTAAAAGTTACAGACTGGTTCTACTAATTTCCCACGTTAAGATGGTAAATTTAAATATTTCTAAGAATTTATTTCAACACTTTATTTAGCAGGATAATCTAGTAACACATCACTATTAAAGAAATGAAATATTCTTGGTTCTAAATCACATAAAATGATTCTCTTTTTCTAATTATTCTGAAGTTTGGCATAGAATTCCACTAGCTATAGTATATAACCAATTCTTCGTAGCTCAGATTAGGACTAAAATCTCAATAGAAAAAATACAAAATGAGATGTTAGAAGATAACTTTTAAAAGGCATTGTATCCTGGGGCAACAAATCACATGGGAAAGCACATTGAACTACAGTCCAAGGAGCTGCTTCTACCACTAATTAGCTGTTTGAGTTTGAGCAAATTAATTAAACGCTGTCAGGCTTAGTTAACTCTTCGGTAAAATCTGAAAAGGAGAACCCATATCACTTGATTATTGTAAGAATTAAACAAGATAATGTGCGTAAATACATTCTATAAATTGTTTAGCACTATAAACATGCTTAAGATATAATTACCCAATTTAAACTCATTTTGCACTTATTAATTTCATATAATGCAAAGTTTTTTTTCCCATTTTGATTACTGTAAAACCTCAATAGTTTCAAAAATGCAAGCACCAAATACAGTACCTTGACTACACAGTAAGCACCTGATGCATATAAGTAAATCAATATTGACTTTGTTAAATGATTTAGACTATCATGATGATCAATTTTGAATTGAAATTTTAATGCTTGAAATGATTTGATATTTCTGCTGGCACTTTATGACATATAAATTAAAAGCCAAATCCTAAACAGAGAAAACACAGATAAGAGAATGAGTAGCGGGCTATTTTTAAATATAAGCTTTTTGCAAAAACCACTAATCAATCAGCTCTACTATTCACTACCTATGCTACTTTGGAAAAGTTAGTCAATTTCTCCTAAGTTGAGTTTCCTTACAGAAAAAAATAAGGAAATTGCATCAGATAGTCTCTAAAGTCCCTTTCAGCTTCAGTGTTCTATGACACATTGAGTGTCCATTACATCATTCAATGACTTTTTTTAATGGGAATCCTTCAATGGTGGGTGGGTCAAGGGAATTACATGTATCTGGATTTCAGTGTGGCATTTGTCAAAATTATGAGTAGTAATTATTAACATACATAATTATAAATATAATTCCATTATATACCTGTGAGTAATAAGGAAAAATATGATCTGAATGTCAGTAAAATTTTATGTGTAACGGTTAAACACTAAGATCCACAGATGCTAATTAGCTGGTTGGCATCAACATGGCAGGAGCAGTATGTCACATGGCTCTGTCCTGTTCAATATTTTTATTAATGACCTGAAAAAGATGCTAATACCATACTGACTGAATCCAGGAATCTGCAAAGCTAGGAAGGATAGCAAATATGTTTGATAAATCTGTATCTAAAAATGACAGGGTGGAATAAATGGGCGAATCTAATAAAACGAAACCACAGAGGAATAAAAAGTCCTGCATGTAGAGCTGAAAAGTCAACTGTCCAAAAATATTGTATGGGTCATCTTGATAGAAGAACAGTTAAAAATGAATGGAGAATTCAGTAGCGAGTTCAATAGGAGTCAACAATGTGGCGAGGCTCTCTAAAAATCTACTGGGTCTTAGAATACACTGATAAAGCCTGGCATCCACAATGATGCAGATAATGATCTTGACTTTTGTTCTGGCCAGATCCTGGAATGTTCTCTTCAGTTCTGGACAGCACACTGTAACTTCTGGTATGCATCATCAGAGTGCAATTTTAACTTTTGAATTTCTTTCTTGAGAGTTGATTTGTTAATATTTCATGACTTTTACTCTTTCTTAGAGGTCTTCAAAGAAAAATAGACGATATACTTCTCTTTTTATAGGGTAAAATTCATTTTACAGAATAAAACTCATTCTACTTTGCAATTATTATGTAGCTCTATTGGGCCCTTTTATAAATCTAAGGGTATACTTACATAAAACTACAAAATATATTAAAAAGGTATATAAAAGGGCATATAAGTTATAAAAAAGATGTAAGGGTATAAATCTAACATCTTAGTGGGTTTTCCTTCAACTTGAAACATTTTGTTACTCCATCATCCTTAATGATGCTATTATTTCATTATTACTCATCAATTATTCCCAATTATGCTTTTACAAAAGACTAAAATTTAAAAATGGAAGAATGATTGGAATTGCCCAGAAAGATGATATAATTGTGAAATAAATCATAGCTATTACATCATCTTCTGTTTTTTTATTGCTTTTCCCAAAGTATTGCATCATCTGTCAGGAAGATATAAAAGAAGTCTAGAGGCATCCTCCTTGTAGTCTATTTTTGGCTTTCATTGAATACAGTTGAGATTTCAGAATTTTTTTTTGCTTATAATGACAAAAAGAAGAAAATTGACAGAGAAAAACATTTCACAATTATTGAACGAATCAGAAGATGAACAGAGACAGGTAACAGCACTTTAGATGCTAATGATGATGGTGAAATTGATTGTATAAGCAAAATCTCTGTGAAAAGTGATATCTTAGATGAATATCCTAGATGAATTTTAAGAATCAATGAGTGAACATTATATTTCTAAGGATGAAAAGGATGTATGATATTCTCACCCGGATAGTCTTTCAACAGGAAAGATTTGATCCTAAAATATTTTGTGACAATAATCTAGATCATAGTGTTTTGCTAAAAAGACGTGGACAGTATTGTTTCCTTTTTATGATGTTTAAGCACCAACATTAACTTAACAAGGTTTGTAAAATGAATATACCACGATGGGTAAGTGGGTATATAAAAGTAACTGAAAGAAAATAGACGATATAGAAATGAATAAAATTCATTGCATCAATCATTCTAGTTGGTGTTTATAAATCTAAAAATGAACATGTTTTGCAGTTATGAAGCAAAGATGATGGCATTCTTCTCTTCAACAAAATATGTGCCTTCACAGTTTTTAAAAGTATTGTGTTTTGACGATACAAGCGCAGAAAGAACCAAAGTAATGATAAGCTAGAATCTATTAGTGATGCACTTGAAATCTGGAATCAGTATTTACATGATGAATACATTCCAGGTTCATGCTTAACAGTTGAGCATTTAGTTGCATTCAAAGTACTTTGCCCAGTTAGGGTATATACATTTTCAAAACTAGGATATATGCAACAAAAATTTGAGTTTTTCCATGTTTAGATTCTTACTAAAATTTCTAACAAAGTTGTTTTCACTAGCTCTTTATTCTTATTTCTGTAAATCAGTTGTAACATGACTTAAAAGGAAAAAAAATAAAAAGGGCCCACTGGATAGTAAAACAGTGATGATTGATTTTTGCTGGTCCACTGGGAGTTAGAAGGGCTGTGCAAATTTTAATAATGTTTCTGGAAATTTTCAGATCTCTGACATGTCAGATTGTTTAAAGTTCTAGATTCTCACTCTCCCCAGGAAAAAGCACCTATGCATGAAATTGTACATGTAAAACTCTAGAAGGCACATGGATTCCCTGAAGTCCACAGATGAGGAAACCAAAACACTGAGAGAATAAGTAACTAACCTACATATGAATTTGAAAGCAAGGCATTATAACACCAACGCCTGGGTTTAGCCTAAATAATATTTAGCATTTTATAGCTAGTAGTATCCCCTGACCAGTTTACTACTAAAACTGTAAATTAAATTACTTTAAAGACTAGAATAAAACAATAGCTACTATGCTTTAGAACATGTTCTCTTCTTCCCTAGTCATCTTTCTTTTTCACATTTCCAAAGTCAAGGACCTTTTCAAGCTCTCTGTAATGTAATGTTATCAAGACAGTACAAACCTCGATCCCACTATTAACCTCTGATAGTCAATTTCTTTCCACCGCTGAAGGTCACTATCTTGTCATCAGAAAATAAAAGAAAGGCTGATAAACACAGCACCAACTCTACAGCATGGATTGAGGAGACATGAGAATGCAAATGATGTTTAAACGATCTCAGCTAGGTCATTTATGGGCGAAGGGAATCATCTGCAATGCAGCTGACCTTTTACCTACCAGTGGGTAAGTTACCAGTCAACATAACATGCACAACAGCTTGCCAAGTTTTATTGTTTAATGAGCCAGCAGAATAAGGCAAATTTATGTACTAAGCACAGGCTCATTCCTCCTCGGTTAACATGTAGCATCTAACAAAGGCACTAGTTGGATCTCTTGATCGATGTTTTCTACTGCTCCAGTTCCTTTGTTCAAAGTTGAACATACCAATGAAACAACACCACGTTCAGAGAGCAGGAGCTGCACTAAGGTGATATGGAGCTTCTGAGCAGTTTTGTCAGCATATTGGTCTATCTAGATGGTCACAGTAAGGGGAATTCTGAATCACATTGAGTTCCAACTCCAAGTGCAAATATGGGAAAGAAGATGACCGCATGCAATGTGGAACTTAGAAGAAAAATCTACAATGGGCAGGAAAAATGACTGCAAGAAGAGTCAAAAAGATTCCCCTTGTTGGGAGGCTACCTCCCACCTCTTAAATCGTTTTGCTTGTCTAAAGCAATATTCAGCAGTATTTCTGTAGCAATTTCTATACATGTGATTATTTGTTTATTTTGCTATGGCCCTGGAGAATTAGCAATCCTTCTTCAAGGCCATAAAATGCAGGAATCGGATAAACACGGGTAATTCTCATTGTTCTCAGGCAAAGAGCAGGCCTCGGCCCTCAACGGGTGCCTCCGCGTGCCCGCCAAGGGGCCTTCTGGCCTCACCGTCCTCCTCGACCTCTGCCCGGCTGTCGTTCTCCGCCTCGCCGTCGTTTTCGGCCTCCTCGTCGTTCTCGCCCTCGCTCTCGCCCTCGCCCTCGTGGGCCAGGCCGCTATCCTGGACGGCGGTGACGTTTGCCCCGCACGCGGACCGGAGGCCCGCCAGGAGCAGCCAGCCGACGGTCAGCAGCAGCCCGGAGAAGCAGCCCGTGCCCCCGGGGCTCATGGCGCAGTGGCAGCCGCGGCTCCAGAGGAGAGGTGCGTCGAAGAGAGGTGCGACGCCCCGCCCGCGGCCGCCCGGCTTCGAACCCGCGCGCCGCGCCCAGGCAACCATTGAGGCGTCACGGCTCGGTCCGCTCGCGGGGCCGCGCGGGCTGCGTGCCTGGAACGCGCCTGGAACGCGCGCGGAGGGGGCCGCGGGGCGGCGGAGTGCGCAGGCCCTGGGCGCGCGCGGGGC